GCTTAACTTTTCATCACCCTAGTCCTCCACTTTGAGAATGCGCTCATATGATAAATGCATGGAAATAACTATTTATTATGCAGCAGCAGGATACAGGGATTACGTTGTTTTTCAAAAATAAATATTAGTTCTCCCTAAAAATCTAGAAAAAACCGTAAATTCGCGGATAGGATTAATAAAATAAGAATAATAATATATAATATATAAATAATACACAAGAATAATAAAGAAAACTCCATACTCCTAATGAGAATAATTATTAAAAAAAGTTCTACAGAACTAATTACGTACTTTAATCAGTGCACTCCATAATTTCAATCCGAATTTCCCGTAAAAAATTACGATTCCGCCCCCTGAATCGTGTCAATGACTCCAGTAATTGCTGAGGGAATTGTTTGATTTTTACCGCCCCCTTTTCACCGCGTATTTGTGAAAAAAAATATTATCGTGAGTGCTTACAAGTCTTTCACGGAAAACATCAATAGAGAAACATTTTTCAATTTTTCCACGACGAAGACTCCGATAAAATTGTGCACTTCCATTCAATAAAAATAAAATGAGAAAAAAAGATGAAAATAAAAAAAAAGAACAGGGGTTATCGACAATAGCATTTTCGATTGAATTAAAGGGATAAAAAGAGGTTGAATCCGGGGCATTGGGGGCTAGTGCCCGACAAATCGAGTCATCAGTGTGCGGGGCCTTTTTATAAAGCTCTCACTGGTTTTCTCACAGCATCAAAAGCTAGGTGGATTAAAACCGTGCCACGGCATTCAGAACCTCTCAAACCCCCGACGTTTCATTATCCACACGATTTTCCACTGAAATTAAACAAAGCAAACAAATAGGAGAAGTAAATATATTGAAATAAAAAGGACTGCCGGGTTGTTGACGTTTTTCGCGTCTATTTTCCCCGGAAAACCAACGCGATATGAACAACTTGGGGAGATATGGCCGACACGAGGCAGGACACAATTTTTCCCCCCTCTTTTCTTTTTTTTTCTTTCTTTTTTTTTCAAGGAAAAAACTCGAGGGCTGGAGAAATTTATCACCGGATTTCGCCGCCTCCGTTTCACCTCCGTTCACGTGGTGTTGAAACTCCAAATGATGCTCTTCTTGTAATCCCTGAATTTTCAACTCACCAACACATTTTTTTTCCCAGTGTATTATCCAATTTTAGGTGTAATTATTTTGGAAAATTATAAGTGGGTTATTCAATGGTTGATTTTCGGATAATTTCACATTTCAATTTTTAATTTAATATTTAATATAATATTTTAATTTTCAATTTTTAATTCAATTTTTTTAGAAATTGAATTAAAAATTTCACGAAATTTGCATAAGTTGTAATTATTTAAAACAATTATGAATAACAAGGGTTATTCAATAATTTAAATCGAGTCAACAAATTTTTCAATGAATTTCTTAGTGAACAGTGAGTTATTAATTACGAAATTTTCAGATTATAAAGGATGATAAAAATCCTCAATGCAGTAATGGGGTAATGAATTTCATAAATGAATGAACTTTACACGTAAACCGCTCAATTTTCGTCGGCTTATCTCATTTTGCCACTTGCCTGTTGAATTAATCCCTAAGAAGACCCATAATAGCCTCTTTTTTCTGAAAACAAGAAACAAAATTAGATTTTTTACGAGGCAAAGGAGCTCACGGAGAACTTGATGAGACCTGAGCTTTGGAGTAGAAAAGCCCCTCCAAAACAAGACTCAGTCGTTCCGTATCGATTTTACAAACAGGGAAAGCCATTTACTTTTTTTACACCCAAAACTCCGCGAAATTGCCTCCCTTTAATAACTTGTGCGCAAAATGCCGACGAGAAAATACAACAAATTAGCTTTTCCATTGTCCTATGGGATTCACTCAACATCTTCATTCTTCCATTTTAGGATTAATTCATCTCTTCACGGTTCGTTCACTGCCATTCATTCACTTTAACTCATTATTTCAGAGAACAGGTAAACCGCAAAACGTGTAACTCAACACTGTGAAATCGATAGAGAGAAACATTAGACCACTAGCTCTCGCCATCGGGGAGAACTCCTTGGAAAAGAGGCTGAGCAAGTTCCTCATCAAACTTTGATAAGATCGTACCCCAAAATTGATGCAAACTTCACGATTCAATTTGTCTTTCCTCTAACGAACTTGGTTGAGTCTTTTCTCCGCAGGAAATTCAATTCAGATTTTTTATTATCTCACATCCCACTGATTTGACATATCCTAAATGTTTTTACACAATTTATAAAAAAATCCAAGCCGAGGAAATTAGGAATTACCATAGAAATAATTTTTTTAATTATTACTACAAAAGCACTGAAGACATATTTTTAATATATCAAATAAAATATCTTCTTTCTTTAATATTGTCAATAGGCGATTAAACATATGTAAAATCTATTAAGCATATAGAATGTTTATATATTAAAATAATATATGTGACTATATCTTATAGATTGATCTTAAAAATGTTGAACGAAAATTTATTAAAGCTTTATTCCGTTCTGTTCTTGCAATTGAAAAAAATCTATGGAAAAAGTTATAATATATTTTCGCTCAACTTTTTTCTCATGAAGCCAGGAGCACTCGTCTCCAAGATAATGGCGTAATGGTCTATCTTTTGAATGCCTTGCCCTATTTCAACTCCAATCTAAAATGGAAAACATAAACTTATGAAATACACGGCAATAAGTAACTCAACTGCAGATTCATGCAATAAATTTTCGAATAAAAAATGCAGATGCATTGTCAGATACAGGGACAACATCCGTTATGTGCTCCTCATGGGATATTGGAAAAACAATTACCGCTGGTATATGTACATTGAGCATTTACGATCGCTCCCAGTCCCTCACTATTTCTTCCTATATCTTCATTGAATTTGACTTTGGGACAGACTCAATGCAGAGCGAAAAGTGAATTTCAGAAGGAGCATATAGATTCATTCACCTATACGGTAAGCCAATGCGATTATCCTCTGGGTATTCTAGAGTTTCTGTCCTCAAGATAGGAGAGGATAAGAAAATTATAGTTTAGAAAGTGGCTTTGAAACTTGGTCGCATCGGAGTTGCTTCGTCTTCAGCATCGATTATCGATGAATCGCGATGAGTTGATCTTGAATATTTAAGACTCCTTACGTGAGATCATCAGCACCAGTCCTTCCATATCGAACTAACAACTGTAATTACCGTAATACGTCTAATTATAATGGTATGAAAATTACAGAAATGTCTTCTACATTTCCCTCTTCGTGGAGGTAAACCAGAGAAATTGAATCCTAACCAATGACTAATTAATTATGACAATAATAATTAATTACGTAATTCATTACATATGTGATTATCCACTTGTTTGGTATAGGCTGCGTGCGTTTTTAGTCCTGATGATTTATTGATGGATTTATTAATAGATCTGATAGATCTGATAGATCCTCATCATTCAGCCCATGTTTTCAAAAGGGCATGCACGTGTCCAAGGTGGAATTTTCAGCCCACTTCAGTTTGAAATTCTAAACATGACTGCCAGTTTCCGCGTTGCACGTCGTTGGAGCATTTGAGGAACTCATGAGGAAAGGTGCCACGTGTTTGTACATGCATCGTGCATCAACCCAGGAGAGGACATCCTGTCCATTCTGATAGCTGTACATGTGGTATCATCAGGTTTGTGGAGAAATTTCGTCATACCGATCAGATGCGTTCAAATTCCACGTTGAAATTCAAAATTTCTCATCTCTAAAATTTTACGTTAAAAAAATCGCCACCCATTTTTTAACTGCAGAATTGTTCCCACGTGACAACAAAAAAAAAACAATTACCCAACAATAAATAATGATAATTAATTAGATCATTATTAATTATGAATAATCGCTTGGTAATTGGTTGGAGGATTGACACGCGGAATAATTAATATTTTTTCGGTGTTAGAATCAATTTAAAGTAAAAAAAGTCAGTAAAATTATTGAGTTGATGTTGGATGATTAATTGGAGGAGTTGAATGATGAAAAATGGATGTAATTATCTGCAGTGAGTGGAAGTAAGAATTCGGGAAAGATATTTTTGGTGGTGTTCATAAACAGAAGACAATGGGATTGAGGAGATATTTCATGGGGGAATAGAACGGAATTGTTTGCGACGGGACAAGACAAACACTGACCCCAATGAATGGCTATACGTCATATCCTATCCTCGAACGATTCAATATATCGATGCTAGTGGTTTATATGCAGTTGAACAGGATTCACGGAGGAGTAATAGGGCGGAGGGTGTAGGGAGGACTAATTCACTTGCGGTGTCCTTCCGATTCCCAATATCCCGGTAAACAAACCGTGTAGCTTTGGATTTACTCGGGTGTATCGTTGTCGTGTATGTCAACTTTTCATGACGCACTGCTATTCTATTTGAGTTTATGAACGGTCGATACACCTCGGCATTTTCAATCACGAAATCTCAATCGAAATCAAAACTCAAAAAAAAAAAAAGAAGGAAATTCCTTCCATAAAAACGGGATGCAATAAAACTGATGAAATATATTTATCCATAATTCTAATTTGTATTGAAAAATTTTTTATTGCATTTTTGGTAAAAAATTTTTTTATTGAGAAAAAGTTATTTATACATATAGATAAAATTTGATAAACCAATATAAAATTGATATATATATATATTTTTTAATATCTCTGGATTTAAACATTTATAGCTTTTTCTCCATTAAAAAAATTTCTATTCAAATTTTTATGTGAAAAAGTGAGTTTTATTAACTAAACTTAACTATTAGTTATGTACCACTATATATAATTATTGTATGATTGTTGTTGTTGGTTGCATAATAATCATGCGATAACTTGATAATCAATTATGCAATTACTAATTTAGCGATTAATAATATAATGAAAGGATCAGTAAAAATTCTTTAGAAGAAAAAATAAATAAAATGTCTGAGATTGGAATATTGATTATTATTAATGATGTAAATGATATTTATGATTACAGAATAGCTCTCACTGGAGCGAGTTCCCAATGACGAAGTGGACATGAGTTGGTCGTCCAGATGGTCACCGTTACGGATTATAATTTTCATTTTGCTAAAATATGGTAAGAAATCGGCAATCACTCAGGCAATTTACGACGTCTCGCTGACGTTGAAGTTGAGTCTCAACTCTACCCTGAAATTTCATGAATGAGTCGTCTGGAAGTTACGCACCTTCATCATACAATTAGCAAAGTTCAATAACTAATATTCGAGTTTGCTGCACCTACACCAATGCAAGACCTAAATACACATTTGCACTCCCAGTGGGAGCAATTCGTTGCCCTTTACACGTGCGTACACATCTATAAGTTATCGCTGTTCGATTAAAAAAACGATCGATAACGGTCGCGACACGTGAGAAAGTCATTGGTATAGAAGTTGAATGAGCTTTCTCATAAAGTTCACACTTTTCTCATTTCGTTCATCCACTAAAAAATAAATTGTCAATTACTACCACTTAATTTTTATTAATTTTCAATTTTTACAACTAAAATTGCCAATAAATTCCCGACCTTTAAAGTGTCTTCTAATTCCATTGAAATTCCTGGAAAAAATGAAACAAGAGTGAAATTTCGATTTATTTTTCCCTGATGGATAAAAAAGAAAAAAATTGTAGTAAAAATTCCGGAAAATTAAATTTTCTCCATGAAACCGAAAATTTTCGGTTCGCGCTGTTATGACGCACCCGGAATTTCCCAAGAGATCGCGGGATAATGTGATATTTCAAAGTACAAGAACCTCACGTCTTCCAAGTCATTAACCGATTTCCCTTACGTCATTTTATTCAATACCCTCAGTGCATTTTTCCACACTTTTTTTATCATCTCGCCGTATGACAACTATCCATAATCCTCAGAAATAATCTCAATTGTTGAATAAATCCTCGTGTGCACATGAAAAATGTTTCGCAATCTACTCAGCGATTGGATGTATTTCTTGGTCCGGGGATATATCATCGAGTGGCATCGTACATCACGGGATTATGTTAGATACAACTGGAGGAAACACCGTATGCACATACGTTTCATTCCATCCACAAGACAAATTATTGGCGATAAAAAGAATAAACACTATCGTCCATTTCTTAAAAACGGAAATCAAGCGCTCAAATGATTCAATCCTAAAGATCCAATCCGAATTCTCTTTGCAATTGTTAAAAAAATATAATAACGTAATGTACCTCAAATCTATCAAGTACATCAAGTACATCAAGTACATCAATTACATAATCTCATTAACATCTCATTAAGACAGAATAATTTGTTGAACAATCGTTTCCGACAATTCTCAACGGAGAAATGATCGTTACATTTGTATTTCCGCTCACTCGGCATTTTTTTTAATCTGAAGAACGTTATCCACCATCTTGGCAGTTTTCACCCTTAGTTTTACGGTTTACAGATTTCCATTTCTTTCCCTGACTCCGTTCTCAATTTTATTTTTGAGAACTGGCAAGAGAACAAGGGGTATAACAACGAGGCTGTATTTTCCGCTCTGGTCATTAAAACTTTAACCTTTGTTTCTCTACCTCTTGTCGTACGACTTTTCCGCAGCCTAGTATTCGTTGATTTCAACGCATTAACCCAGGAGTCAACGGTGTAATAAAATGTTGGGTAAAAGAGTTTAGCTTTGCAATTTGCCACTCGACTATTACTCCAACGAATTGAATGCACGACGGTGGAATTGGATGGAGAAGTGTTTCAAAGACTCAACTTTTCAAAGAATATTCACCTTTATTTAGCTTTGTGTTCCATGAATTAATGTGTCAAAAGGCAGTGCCAGTGGTTTCACCCGATCTCATTTATTCAATATATCCAGAAATTGTTCAATCCATTGTTTTCTCCGCTGAACTGCTGATTTTTTAACACCAGCTCCATTTTCACCTCAAATTTCCTCGACAACCCTTACGATCTCTTGGGAACACCTACACCGAGGATTAAGAAATTTTCATGACCAATAAAAGAATTTTACTCGCACTTCTACCACTTACAATTGTCGAGATGTTATCGTTTATCGTTTATTGGAGTGATTAGCGTCAAATCTTTTTTTACTTTACACACTGCGTGCTAAAGGAGTTCTTAGAAATGATATTTACAAAAATGATATTGATATTTATTATTAATGATATTTATTTTATATATGAGTTGATTATTTATAACAATCTTGACGAATGTATTAAGGATGTTCTGCCCCCTTTTCGCCGAAATCATTTCGCCGAAAAAATAACCTTGGTATTTTGTCATTATTTCATTTACTTGTATTTTTTTTAATTTTTATTAATTTTTGACAAGTGTGAAAAAACCCAAGGAAATTATTACAATTACGAATTATTATTGTCCGATCATGAAATTTTGGGAATCATTAAATAATTATAAAACGATATATTTTTTCGGGCAATCCGATAAACAATTTGTTAATAAATTTAAAAAATACCCATAATTCAGCTAAAAGATGGCGGAATATCCTTCACAGAAACATCACCGAAATGAAATAAAAAAAAATGTGAAAGTTTCTTCGACAACTGAGAAAAGAGGAAATATTGCTGGAAGGTAGGTTCCGCAAATAGATTTTATCTGAAGATGAGAGGAAATTCAAAAAAAGAGGGAAAGGTAAGCGAGCGGTCGCTTTTGGCGGGTAAAAGGGCTGATACTTGAAAATAGAATAGACCGCCTAGATTCTAGAGTCTAGGATAGTGAACGGCCATTGTGTCACTACAGACGAGTGTGCACTCGGAAAAAACAGCTCTCAGGCCTCTTTGCAATGCACTTGGTTAAGGCGTGGAGGATTCTAAGAATAAGAATTGAAAGACCTGAAGAATACTGCATTCTCCAGCACGAGGGCTCACACGAGATAGTGGAAAAACCCTATATATTGGAATTCTGTTGTCGACTTGGGGATTTTTCCACCGGAAAAATATAGGGATCGAGTAATATTGCTGTATGGAAATCATTACGGTATTCCTCGGAGAGTTTTCGACTCTGCGAATGTTCTGCGAAAAATTGCATGTTATATTTATTTTTTTTCTTTATTTCATTGAAGGCTGCGTATTTTTCCCTCAGGCATCTAGGGAGATTAATTTTTTTTCACTCTCACTCCGAGAGGATGTGGAATTATGGTATGAAGAAGGTTTTATTATGAATGTCGGAGAAATAAATGCACCAGTGAATTCGGAGGAATAGATTATACAGAAATTTAAGCACAAGTTTTTGCGAGAACTGGATCGGATTTTTTGTTCAATCGAAAATGAAAATTATGTGGAGGACAAAAACTAGTTGAGAACACCTCAAGCTATTTTATTCCGCAAACTAAGTGAAAACCGAAACAGAAAACCCGCGGAATCCCTCGAGGCCGCTCTCCAAACTACTCCCCGAATTCCTGGAAAAATTTGTCAGAAAATTCTCTACAACTCGCGAACGTCAGAATACGTCAGTCGCAATTAATTTAAACTGCAATTTCTTAAACCTAATTTACGTCTACACTTTTCCGCGGAGAAAAATACGGGGTATGAATTTTTTTAATAGTTTCAAAAGAGAAGATCTCCGATTAATAATATTCCACATTCCCTTTCCATCAATTCACATTTCGTTATTCTTCTCAAAAGTTCAGAAAAAACGACAGAATTTCTATTGTATTCTATTCCAGGACCCTTTTTGGAAATCATTAAATAATGATTAATAATTAAATAATTATTTCACCTCAATCCGTAATTTTCCCTGAAGAGGTGCGAACGATTCTTAATTAAACCTCCAAACATTTTCTTTGGGTACCAACTAAATAATTAAAATAACTTCCTGCAATTTTGTGATGCCGATTTTTCTCTCCGGGTAATCCCCACCCCGTCATCCATCAGAAATAACGGGTCGCGGTTCGTCGACGGCAAATATAGGGACATGTGTCATGTGCAGAGAATTCCCAAGTGTCGGACCACATGGTTTAGTAAATCTACTGCCTCCAATGAGCCTCCCACCAAGACTATTCCTCCATTTTTATTGAATTCACCGAGTGTAATGTTTGATATCATTGGATAAACTACTCGTAACATATCGAATTACACTGGCGCAATCCAAAACATTTATCTGTTTGGATTACAGGGAGTCAAGTGGGGCTTCATCAGTATTTTCTGGGCTTCATCTTCTGTTTCAGGAATTCAAGAAGACGGGGTAGTTGAACTTGATTGGATTTGATTGATTTATCGAAGGGGAATTGTATCCCTGAATTAATGAGTCTTTACATAGCATGTGTGGAATCAGCTCATTGAGATCGATTTAATCCCAATTTCCCTGGAGCGACGGGCCATTTAATTGCAAATATAAACAAATTAATTGATGATTACTGATGCATTACGATTACACGATGTTAAAGTCATTACAAATTGGTGGAGTCATTAGTCAGAATTTGACAGGAATTCTAATTGATGATAGGATATTGATGTCTATAAATTAATCATTTGCTGAAGTTATTGGAGAATGAATAAAAATGAGAGACAATACAGCGAGATTAATGCCCATAGATAATTCCGGGGAACAATTTGAAATAATGGAAACATTCAGAAAATTCAACTCCATATAATCTCACGCTATGGTGTACACTTTCAGTGGATTTTCTCTAGGTTACGCCGAAGTAATTAACTTGAGTCGGTGGATTTAAATCTCACGTGGAAAAAGCCAACCATAAAGTACGCGTTCCGCACCGTAATTTACGATCTTTCCCAAATTACAAATATAAAACGCAATTTACGAGATTCAGATTGTAATTTTTATTGCGGAGTACCTGTATTACATGTATCATGAATTGTGAAAAGAATGAATCATACGCGAATTTAATTACAAAATTTTCACGTCCCGATGGAAAATTGAGGTATAAAATGATTTTCCGTGGGGGAATGATAAAAAATTCGCAGTTTTCCTGAATTTATCATGGAGTTTGAAATTCTGGTGGTGTCAATTCATATTCCAATTTAGTTTTCTTAGTGCAGAAGCAGTTATTAATTTATTTTACCCGCAGTTTCATGAGAAGTTCCTCGTAGTGATCGCGGAGTTGTGATCCTCGAACCCTCAGGTACAACATTTTATGTTCATTCAGGTGGGTCATCACGTTTCCTCGCGATATCTCAATTCTCCCATATCCCGAGAGATCCCTCGGTGCAAACATGTACAATACACACGCACAGATCCGTGTAATACCCCCACCGGGAATTGAACCCGGAGGTATCGAGACCTTTCTCCTTCGAAGTCGTCTGCCCTAGCAATTTGCACCTATCCAATGGGATGGACTGCCTGGGGTCGATAAAGTCCGTCTTGACTCCATAAAGATCTTCGCACAGCAGCTCAAAGATACTGGGGAAAAAAAATATTTTTCTAGAGATTGAAGTCCAGAAAAATGTAACTAAAAAAAATAAATTCTAATGAATAATAAATAAGTAAAATAGCATTACAATCACAAATTAAATTAATAGATGAAAACTTCAATATAATTTTTTACCGGACAAATAAAATATTTACTCCATGAAAAAATGCAGTGAGAGAAAAAGAATTAGTTTCGTCAACTGAATTGACTTATTGCAAATAAATTTAATTGTCATGTTGAATAATAAATATATAATGCCATTTGGTTTTCTTCAGTCATACCTGAAAATGATGGAATTACAAATTTAATTAACAACATGCAGGCTGTTTAATGGAATTAACGGCTTATTACAGAGGTCTTCTCTGCGGTTATTGATTGATTTATCGCGTCGACATATTGCATTCCCATGGTCGATTTGGGCAACAGCACCACGGGTATCTCAGCAATGTCCGTATTACCCATTTACCTCGTACCCGTCGTGTTAGGTGAATAATCATTGTTCCAGTCGAACTGATATGTCCCCAGTGCTAAAAGCGCCAAACTCTGCTATCCCTCGTGATAGATAACAAGCCCCGGTACCACCTTCCAACCCGTGTACCCAACCGCGGAAATCGATTTTGTCATGTGAATCTCGTTACCTCCACGCTGGGACACAGGTGACTCCTTCACCAAAACATTTATTACATTTAAATACTATTTTCCACCGGTCCAAATCTCATTCAATTCCCTCTTCATATTTCAAAAAAGTTGATCAAGAAGTCGTTTTCACCAGTCCATCACAAAAATAATTCCTTACCCCAACAATTTATTAATTACACTAATAATAATCGCGCTTTGCATATAATAATTATGCAGAAGCACATCTCAATAATTAAATGATAATTTGTTTATTTCCATAAGTTATATATGTGCAAGAAAAACATATATTTATTTAATATTCTATTTTTTAATTTTATTTGTGTATATAATTTTTTTCTCAAAATAAAAATATTAAAAATATTTGTATATTAATCATAATTATTTTTGAAAAACCATTTTCATGAGTTTTTTCGTTTTAACTGGATTTTTTTAAAGGGGATATTATCGATTCGAGTTATGGGGTATTTATACATGAAGATGTACATGAACGTTTACATAATGGTGGAAACATCTTCCAGGGACAATGCAACCGACTTTGACGATGGAGGAGACGTTGTTCTCGCGTCTGATTGTTGCTGCATCTCACACCGCATTGTCCGGTGATCTCGAGGTCTTTATTATGAATTTGGGGATGAGGACCACGACAGATGCACCTAGGATTGAAACAACAACTGAAGAAGAAGCGGATATTGTCATGGAGCAGGAGGAAGGAGAGATGGCTAACGAGGAATACGACTCCTGGGTACCACCTACGCCAGATCTTGATCCCTTTGTTCTTAGGTACATTGTTTATTCCTCATTCACTAATAAACATAAAACCCGATCAACCTAGTTCTTCAGTACTTGTCTCAAATCAATTTATGCCATTACCTGAATTGTTTACGCTAATTAATACCAATAATTTCAATTTTATAAACTGATCAGTGAATGAATTTAATTTAGATTGCCTGTTTGTCGGTGAATTAACGAAAAAATGTTGAACAATTTGTTGGAATTGATTTTGAAAAGAAGAATTGAAAGCGTTAAAAAGTTAGCAGGGATTGGATTACAAAAGTGAATAGCAGAAATGCTTTGAAGTTTAATTGGAGAAAAATATTGCGTTTCAGAGTTATGCGGCTGGATGGATTTACGTCGGAGCTAGTTGGAGAGGTAACTGTCGAAACTTCAATGATACAAGCTGGAAATGTGTCACTCACTGTTCCATGTGGATTCTTCTCTCGTGGTGGAGCATACTCCCTTGTTCTCCAACGCAGCTCTCTGCCACCTAGTTCAAAATTTGCTGATTTCAATAATATCCAGGTAAGCCAACGAATAGTCGTTTAATTAATGCGCATGTGTAATTTCTCTCTTCATTAAGAAGCAATTAATTTCAAACTCTAAATAGCAACTGGGAGACGGTTAAATCATCGCCGTCGCTGATGAATTTGGCATAAAGTGTCAGAAAACACTTGAAACACTCGAGTGACACTTGAAATTTCAAGTCATCACTTTACTCTACTCGTTACACTCCACAGAATAGCTGAGTGTCTGCGTTATTTTATCCGCAAAAGATCATGAATAAATGAATTTTGAATTTAATAAAATTGTCGTGTCTCGACTAGCAATAAAAATTCTGGTAACATGAGAATGTCATTTGAACTATACCAAACGGAAACCGTTGATTATTCTCAGTTGTTGGTATATTTATTTCTAAAATGTGAAATTCTGATGAAAATTGAGAGAATTTCGATGAATTCTCGAGGAAAAATGTGGTGTCGAAAACTTTTTGATTAAATCTCTAATACCCTTGGATTTTTTGGCGACAGGTAAAAACAACTTTAGACGTGAGATGGCCAACTCCATCCCTCACTCTGGAACCCCAACACTTCAACACTTATCCCGACCAGCCAGTTTTAGCCACTCTAGAGTACACTGGAATCTCATGTGCACCCGCCAAGGGACTTCCAGTTGACACTTATTCACTTCAACTTATCTACTGTGGGGCAAGTGTCCTGTCCTGTGATCCGCGAAATCGGAGTATTCCTCAGGTACCGGCGAATAGAATTTCCACGATAAAATAAACCAGTGGAAAAATATAACGTTGAAATTCCAGATGCTGTACAACGAGGAAATCCGAGGATTTCCCATGCAAAAAATTTTGTACATGCGTTGCGAGTTCTTCGGATTAGCAGGCCACTATGCATTGAGGTTGAAACCAACTGATGGAAATTCAACTGCACCAATGATCTCCGCTTATATGAAGGTCTGGCATACGAGAATTCGTGGATTATTAATATTTTAGCGATTTATTGTTTATTAACTTTCACCGTGAGAATGAGAGTTCCAGCTTTCGAAAAAATATTCATTCCAATTCAAAACGAAAACCCCGATTTCCTTGAATTTATAAAATAAATTCGAAATGCCAATAAATTTTAAATAATAATGAACAATCCAATTTTTATAAATTCCTTTGGATCTAGAGTAAATCTCTAAGTGTTGATGGCTGACAGTGGCTAACAGTTGATCAGATTCAGTTAGGTGTTAAGATGATTAGAATAATTAATAATAAATTGGTGATAAATTCGTGTGGAACAGGTTGAAATATCAAACCAATACGTCTTCAATGTGCACGCAAGATCGGTGTACCCCTGCGATGGGAATTCCGGGGGTCTTTCCGTTCTCTTCGAGTACCCATCCTGTCGTCTTCAGGAAGATCGTGTGAGGGTGTACGGTGGCCTAAGGGCTGACGTTGCATCCTTAGCACCACCGTCAACCCTCCACTACGTCGCTGAACTTAAAGCACCACCTGGCAAGCACACACTAACATTTGACTGTGAGATATTCACCGAGAGATATGTCGAGTACTGCTTCGTCTACGTCAGCCAGGCGATTAACAACGCGATGGCTGAAGTCAGAGAGGATTGCATTCCTACATTTCCGGTTCAAGGTAAAATTGATTGGATGAGTTCTACCTCTCTATTACACTCATTTATTCCAGAGGTGGAGGAATTTTGATGAAAGGAGGTCGAGGAATTATTTTCAAACTTATTTTCCCATTTACTGAGGATATTCTCCTCTCTTTCACCCAAATTTACCGTTTTTTGAGGTTTCTCATGAATTGTTGATTAGATTGAGTCTAAAAAATTTCCCGTTTTTACATTTTATGATTATTTAATGACTCCCAAAATTTCGTGAGCCTGCGATAGTTTTTCTTTTTTTTCTGCAGTTTTATCAATTTTTGAAAAGTTTATAAAAAACACAGGAAAATTATTACTATCACGAATACAACCGAAAATTTGTCAGAAAACGAAAAAAAATCGGTAATTTTTTAGAGGGAGCAGAACATCCTTAAATCCAGGATATGATTCCACTGATGAAGATTCAATGTGCTCCATTCATCCGCTTGATAATAGTAAATAATAGATTTAATTAGGATCGATTGATTGTTCTCTACTTTATTCATGACGAAATAATACCTGCAGAGAAGAACTGAAGCAGTAGAAAAAACAATCAATTACAAAAGTCCCGAGTTTATCGATAGACCAAGAGATCCCTCATTATTTCGAGAGAACGCCATTTTCGCGTGCTCCATCTAACAAACTCAATTAACTCTCTCATCTTCCGTCAAAAGACTCAATAAACTGGCAAAACAATTAAAATCCTCCGCGACAGCTAACCTGAAGAATGAATTATCAGAAACTAGCGGAAAAACTTGATATAAAAAAAAGGAAACATTGTTTCCGGGTGTAATCAAAATTCATCGTCAAGTTTTCATGAGTTCTAGACATGGTGTCTTATTTAGGATCATCTTAAACCCATTATAGACGAGATATACAGGTATATATCGGGTGAGGAAGGAAAATTACGGTATCGCGACAGCACTTTGGAGCGATTGCCCATCGAAGTTTATGCATTTATCAAAGAGACGAGATAATACACTTCTTGCGTATCGATCGATGACCCGGAATCCTCAAGGGATAGAAATACCTGAGACGACGGTAATGAGTCTTAATTAAGGATCCAGGGAATACCCAAGATCCGAGGTATTTCATCTGGTGGATTCTTATCCGAATCTCGGTTGTTGGCTGTGTTTTAGATCGTGATTTAATTTATGAATTCATAGATTCATCTGTCAAGTTAATGCACAATGCAAATTTTACCGTTCAATTGTAAATAAATTGGAAATTTGTTCTAGTCTCAATATTTCATTCGATCATTAATTTTTCGCGATTCTATTTATATAAATTTTTATTCTCCCTTTATTGCAGCTTTATCATATTTCAAGATTGATTTGCGTTTTCTTTTTTATATTAGAACACTTCATGTTTTTTTATGTTTTTTAAAATCGAAATTACAATCTGTTATTGCATTCAAACATTTTCCATTCCGCCCTCAATTATCGCTTGCCTCACTAATACTCTGGCTTACGATTTAACTTCATTTCCGATTATTAATTATTGATTCTTAATCGTATGAGCTGCAATAATCAACTCAGAAGATCAACGACTGATTAATTTAAACAATTAGATGAAGTTCGCATGAATGGAGCTCTTACTGTTCACGAAATTATGAGAAACTCAGGAATATCTTATGTATTTTGTTATTATATATCACGATTACAGGTTAATATCCGATAATAAATTTACGATCACCTAATAGGTGGGTATGTACTAATCATAATATGTAATATCCTGTGAGTGCTCATAAATGATTAGCATCGGACGCAAGGTAAACGCTCTCTGGTCGTAACGTGTGATCGTAACTGATACAGAATTCATTACATGCCTCGATTGTACAATATTTCACTTGATACGTAATGTTGTGTTCGAATACATGTCATCTAGTTTCCATAAATTCAAATGAATGACCCACACATGCGGGAGAATTTCATAGAAAATCCAGCGTATAGGCAAATGACACTGGCTTTCCAAGTAATGTACAGTAAATGAGTGCGTAAATATCTGTCTACTTCTGCAGTAGTTACGGGAGTTAATGAGTACTCCCATTGGTCTATAATAAAAGTACATCACTGATACCTAAATTATCATAATTATCCCAATGCTCTTTGCGTGAATTAACGAAAGTCCTGAAACGAACGGGAATTCGTTGTTTCATAAAATTCACTCGTGACGCATAATCGAGATAATTTACAGTTAATTAAAGTTTATTGAATGAGTTCTCGCGGAGGATAATACAAAGACAAATTTTGTATGAGAGTTCCCCCGAGTGTAATTGCACGAAATAAAAAAAAATGGAAATTTTTCCTGGAATCTTTCATTACGGAGTTATTGTCTATCTTTTCAAGATCATCATTTTTCAAGTTTTTTTACAAATTTTTGAGAGATGATTGATTGAATTGATGTGAAAAATACTGAGGGGGTTACATTTTATTATTATTCTTTATATTATTATTTATAAGTTCTAACATAAAGACCAATAAATGGAAATCTTTATGAAATCCAATGGTTCATTTAATTAATCCAGAGACATTGTGGTATCCCAGTAATTATCCGACTTCGATGGCAATTAAGCGGTAAAAAAGTGTAGATTAACTGAATAATTATGAGAGTTAATTACCAATGGTACTGGACAACAATCAAATTACTCTAGGTGTCACGGTGACACTGGTTGAATGGTTAGCGGAAGTGGTCGTGGGTGGGAGAAGGTAAATACCAGGGGCTAAAGCTAATGGAATTATTTTAATTTGCATATAAACCGACCTCAACTTACTTTTATGTAAACTATGACCCCGTAGATAAATCTATTCTGTTCTCTGCGGTGTTTTTACTCTTTTTCATCGTATTCTCCTCTCTTCAATCATTCAGCGGGGAATTAACCAGCGGCGGGAATGCAAACGGTAGAACATTATCTATCCCGAGTTTATGCCAAAAGGTTTTTTTAATGAGAGCAGTAAAGACGGCAACTCATCTGTTCACAATCATCCGTTCTTTCTTAGTTTTTATTTTATTATTTTGTTACGGATATCGCGGTGAGGGATCGTCAAATGAAATCGCTCTTGGGGAATTAATTTTTTTCTCCAGAAATAAATATGTAATTCCAGGAGATGGGGATCAGAATAAAAAAAATCATCTAATCATCGCTCGATATTTTTAATTGAATTTTGTGGTTTTATTTGTGAGAGTAAATAGATAAGTGGATTAATTTTCGGATAGTCTGTAATTGTAATTTTATTTCAGTGCTGTCATGAGTAAAGCTCCTCGTTTTTCTCGAGTTAAATAGAAAATTTGATCCGAAAATAATTGAAAAGTCGTGGCGTGTCATAAAGTTCAATACATGGCTCGGCAGAAGTGTTTTGAGATCTCATCTGTCTCGAGTAACATTTTATCCGCTGAAAAACGATCCCATGAGCCTATTCCACTGCTCGTGAAAGGGAATCAGTCGAATGATAAGAAATAAAAATGGGGATGAGAACAATTGCAGAAGCAATAAAGATATACGTTTGTAACTTTTTCATCATGATTTTTATGATGACAGGAGTGAAGGTGAAGGGAGCTAAATCTTAAGGACCCACAGTTGGGTTTCAGAGATTAGGATTGAAAGAGATGATCGACAAAAGGCTGGCCAAACCTTTTTTACAATGAAAATTAATTTTCCCATTGGATTATGCTGGTGAAATTCTTGATTATTTTGAAAAACGAGATGTTCTTTGAAATTTGTCGCGTATCTTATCTGATTCAGTTGACAATGGAATTTTTCAATTATCCTATTATTATTCGTTTGTTATCTTCACCAGACAGTGATGCGGGTGGCTGGGGTGATTGGAGTCCCTGGAGTCCATGCAGCAGTACCTGCGTCGGTGGTGTTCGCAATCGGTACAGATTCTGTGACAATCCTCTGCCCCGTTATGGTGCTAAATTCTGCCAGGGGAAAGCTGTGGAGACTGAGGCCTGCGGTGGATCCACTGCTCTGAATCTCAACAGCAATTTGACACCGAGCGACTGGGAGTGCAATCATGGAAAGGATCTGGCAGTTGAGAGGCCCGAGGTTACTGCGGAAATTGGCAACAAGTGCCGGTGTGGTTGTGTTGTCAATATCCGAAATGAAACCGAGAGAAGGATATTGGCTGCTAGCACACGCGCCTGTCCTGGTCGATCATTCTGGTTGATACAGGTAATGAGGATTGCCTAAAAGCCCCAATTATTATATTTTATAATAATTATTATTTAAATGTTCGGAAAAAGCGCATGAAAATTATTTGAAGTTTCAAGCAACTTTTAAAATGGATAATAAATTTTCTTTTAATTATTTCATCTTATTCTCTCGTCTGCACTATACTTGAAGAAGTTTCTAATACTAACGAGAATTTTCAACTCCAGATTGATTTTTTCCACCGACAGTTGAAGAGTTTAGGTGGTACTTCCTGCTCTAATGAATTAAAAAAAGCACGGAGAACTATTGACATTGCAACTGATTTTTACCCGACAAAATGTCGTTTGCTCTTTTTTTCCAAAAGGCTGAACCAGAATACGCGATCAAACTCCACTTTGATCAAACAAAGTTCCCATGCCCGGGACAGTACGTGAGAGCCCGAGACGGGGATTCATTGAGTGCCGAACTCTTAGCTGATATTGCGTTGGATAAAAGTCCATCAGAATCTGGCACTATAATTTCCACCGAAGAGAGACTACTCCTAGAGTTTTTCAGTGATGAAATTGTGGTGGCAAGGGGCTCTTGTGTCGGTGGATTTCTCGCTCATGCTTCGATATTCTGTGAGTAATAATGAAATTCCATCCTATTTCAACAAAAAATCTATCGAGTCCATTCCAGATCTGACAGTCTAGATAATTGAAGTGATTTTGAAGGAAAAATTTGGCCGACAATTTCCACAAATAGGAGAATTACCGAAAACAATGTTCTCGGAAATATCCTCCTTTCCTTGAATCACCAATTACGAGGATAACTCGATTTCAGCATCACCCCAGGAATCAACTCTCATTTTAGAAACCACTCTACTCCAGAATGTCATTTCTATTTCGCCTCTGATTCCCCATTTTTCTGCGGTGAATTCCCCGGTAATTTGATATCCTAATGGACGGTTTACAGTGAAACCTCAGATGGAAAATGGAACAGCAGATACAACCGCAGTCCTCATTGGTCCAAAAGTCATGGCTGCTGCTGGACGCTGGGCTATGTGGCTTTCCCCAGCTCATCTCGTTGCCGCATCACTACTACTACTCATGTTTCTAGTTTCCATCTTCCTTGCTCTTCAGTATGCCGTCAAATACAGGAAATATCAGGTTGCTGAAGACCTAGATAGCCTCACTGATCATTCCAGTACGTATCGTCACACAAACAGAATTCCGGTTTTTAACAATTTTGGATAATAACTTCTCGCTTTTCTGATTTTTTTACAAATATCCAAACGATTCATGAATTCGGGTGAAGAATTTTCCTCCGTTTCCAGTAAATCTTTGCAAAAAATCCGAAAATTTCACCAAAAATTTCGAGAAGTAGATGGATGACTGAAAATTCGTGAATCATTGAATAGTAAAACAAAAAAATGGAATATTTTTTGTCAATCTGGTCCGCGTATACTCAAAAATTAGAAGAACAATTCATTTATCGATCGCTGTATTTTATGTAGCTCGAAGAACTTACGGAAAGTTGTGGAAAAGTTTTTGAGTGAGACACTCTATCTGTGGGGAGTTAATTAAAAAAGCCTCTTTTCATTGCCAGCTTGCAGTGGATCTATGCAGGGGTTGGCCAGACGTGCGAGAGCTATTTCTTCAGCAACTTTAATCTCAGAAGTTGTTTCCCTGGTTCGATTATCTCGGAGAGGATCATCGGGGCACGGACGTCTTGAGGAAACTACTGCTGATCTTGAAGACGGTTATGAGAGCACGGAGACTCAAGCCGAGTATGTCATTTGTCAATTTTTTTCATATTTTCCTGGGGAAATGAAAGTTTATTCACTCGCATCGATATGGGGGAAAGGAGAGGATCTGTCTATCCCAGATCAGATGTCTAAATTTTTTTTTGATAGGAAAAGTCTTTGACTGGGAATACGAATAATCCTTCATGTTCGCCCTCTTTTTTATTTCCATTTTTCACTGTTTCTCATGAGATCTACTTTATTTGATGTTCCCTCGGATTTACGTTACAATTTTTTAGAAAAACTCTTTCATTTCGTATTTAATTGAAATTTTTACTGATAAAACTGCACGGAAATAATTTTTCTCGGTACCACAGACAGAAATGAAAACAAAACCGTCATTTTCCGCGTGAGAAATTTTAATTAAAATATACGTGGATATTGCTCATAATTGGAAAGAGGATATTGTCATTAGCTTTTAAAAATTTTACGGATGTCTTCATTCATTTTTATCGATGTAATGGAACCGTGGAAATATTGTAGTGAACGAGTAAAAAATCATTATCCACTTTATCATTGTGAAAATTATTATTGATGTGCAATAACAATTGACAATTCAATAGATTGATTTTTTCCGACCGACAGGGCAAGATAAAATATTATTTTTCATACCAGAATGTGCAATCACAATTTTCATTTATATTAATGGTAATTGAAAACTAACTATGAAATAACAGAGTGGAGGAAACGCAGAGCATCGAGTCAATTACCCCAAAACAAAAAGATAGCGATGAAAGCGGCTCGCAAAAAACTATAGTACCGAGTACACGAAGTACTCCATCGAGACGTTCCTCTGTATCAAGTACCACAACAATTGGCCAACCCGAGATCAAATTTGCCAGACCAGTTAAGTAAGTTCTAGGGCATTCTGCCCAATCTCTCATTTTACGTATCTAATTACCAGAATGAAAATAATGATCATAAATACTAACGTAATTTCTCTCACATCTTACAAACGCCAGCTAATTTTCTGTTAATATCGAATGCATTTTTTTATTCTCTTTTAGTGTAATCTTCAGTGTTTTTACAATCTTCTCGAGAATTGCTGAATGGAATTCAAATAACGTAATATTAAAGGAGATGGAGATCCTAGTGCATGCATAGAAATAGTTCATATTCTTTCCAATGCATTTTAAAGATGACGATCAATGTACATTGTGCACAGCACTTTTTTCATAATTTCATTGATATCCTGGGTGTTTAGATTAGTCACTGATTAAAGAGGCATTAATACTTCAAGCAGGGAGTGAATTGGAGACCAAGCTTTCACGTTATAATAATTAAGATAATAGCAAAAATGTCAAATTGAAGAGCTCCATCGCTTCCCTTCCTGAAGAGAATGAATAGAATGAACAAATGCAATCACTTCTTCATCTCCATCATATGCATTCACCTAATCAGCTAATATCGGTACGAAGTGTGTGACTATCACAGCGAATTGATAATAAATTATTCCATCAAGCATCATCATCAAACACCACTCAATTTTCCACAATTTAATTACGAAACTTGAGGGAAAATCAATAGACCGCAGTTTATTGGCCATGAGTGAGTACACCGGGTTTGTGCCTCTGCCTTTTGATGTTACAGACTCCGTACAGTTGGTCCAATAAGTCCCGTGTCCGAGGAGGCATCAAGTTTGGAAAACGATCGACGATACAGCACCACAAGCGGCTCCAACAGTGCGAATAACGTAAGCCTAGCACAACAAAAATCATCCATACTCCAATTAAAGGTATCCCCAGTCGTGATATGCGAGAATATTAATGCTTGGAGTGTCGTTATATACTGGATGGGTTTTCTTATTTCGCTTTTATCTCTTTCATCAAATTTATCGTCGTACTTTACAATCTTCCAGGGAAGTGGTGAAAAAAAAATAAATTAAGAGAATTATTACTCTCATTTTGCAAAAATTTCATTTCATTTCATTTAGAAAGTGTTCTAGGAATAATTAGATGATTGATTTTTTAGACATTTTCACCACTTCTCTATTAATTAAATCCTTGACACAAAGCTCACAGCTCACTCGCTTTATTTAGTTCCAATTCTAGTTCGTTCAATTTTCTTCTTCATATAGACGACTGCAGTCACTCACGAATTAAACCCCATTCTCAGTTTCTTGTATCAGAAAATAGAATAGTCACAAGCACAACTCAAGCACCGCAATTCCCTTGAAGATTAGACCCCTTCAGCGAAGTGGTGGGACATAAAAAATTGAAATGAATTCTTTAAAGATTTTTCTCAAATTTTATAATACGAGCCTAAACGCATATTCATATGATCAGAATTAAAAACATTTAAAAACAATTAAAAACATAAAAGGCTTCTGTTCAGATCTCTTAAATAAATTTTCCCTACTCTTCCAACAAATTCGACTGAAAAATGTAATCTTCCAGGGATTTTCCCCGGCAAGTACATCTTCTAACATTTCAACTCTGCGCTGTGGTAAGGAAACCAAAGACAGGAGGAATCGCGAGCGTCTCCTCCAGGGTCCAGGCTCTGAGTTCAGTTTAGCAAATCCTGACACAGACCTGGAGCTCGACTACTACGATTACAACGTAGTAAACGCTGGAGCAGCTCCAGGCTCCTACCTGGGAATGGATCCAGCGTTCCTTGTGTGGATTCCACCCCTGACCCCGGATTCAGAGCTCCTGGACTCCCTGAAGGAAGACCACCACTACGAGGAAATTCCCGACAGAATAACTCTCGATACCGAGGGAACGTCCCTTTCCCCAGATACATATAAAACTATAAAATATGATAACATCACTCCCAGGAGACTAGATCCCGGTGAAAGTCGTCTGCACGATGAAATAATCTCAGAGTATCGAGCACGTCTCAGCGAGGGAATCCTTCCAATCCACAGGATTCTGGAGGAATCAAGGACTCGAATTAGCGAAGAGTCTTTATCACGTCACAGTGACAACAATCTTCATGTCGACGTTATCCCCAATCGATTGAGGGATGAGGATTACAAGGAGAGAGTTATCTCCGATGAATTCGAAAGGCCCAGGAGTGCAGCGTGCCGGAGGGACGACGAGAAGAGAACTCCTGCTGTTATTCGAAACAGATTGCAGGAGTACGTCGATAATTCCGAGGGCAATTCCGAAGTCATTAAGAAGTCGAGTGAAGTTTCCAAGGGATTTATGGCGAAGAGGAAGAGTCTGAGGAGAGACTCCTCCAGGGACAATGATCGAGATGTTTGCGAGGTAAAGGAGGAGTTTATTCTTCCGCGAACTCCTGGATATCAGCGGAGGTTCAGGGATATTGCGGATTTTAATGGGCGAGATATGGGGGACAGGAGGGGAAGTAATGAGAGCATACCGATGAGGGAAATCCGGAGGAATGAGTCACCCGTGAGGGTCCACAGGTCCAAGGAGGTCAAAGATATTTATATTTTGAAGGAGAAGGAGGTGAGCAGTCCTGATTATGGGGTTGATGTCGAAGGCAAGGGGACGAGGGAGAGTTTCTATGATTTTATTGGAGAGGATGAGGATGGCATCAAGTTCGCTGATGATGACGAGGAGGAGGTGGAGGAATATGTTGATAATAAAGTCGTAGTGTAAATTCGAAGAGCTTTTTGGGGGTCGAGTTTGGGAATTCTTGGAGGCGATTGCCGGGGTTTAGGGAAGAATGACTGAATTTTACGCAGCTCATGGAATAGTCTGCAGAAGGTTCTGTCGAGATCTTTGGTGGACGTGATTCTGGGATATTTGAGGAGTTCTGAGAGTTTGATCCAGTTTTATCGAATGATCCGGATGATGAGAATATAAATTTCGACTATATTTTGGTTGTTGGAATTCTCAATGTGTATCTACATAGTTTAGATGATACAGAACCGGTTACTCGTGGACGTTCTCATATCATTCGTAGGCTGATCGTTCGGGTAGATATTTAATTGAATTATGAAGGGTGGACAGATAAATATTTCGGTAATTATCAAAAGACTGTATTTTTGACGTAAATCACGAGGCTTTACTTAGACTTTGTAGAGGTAGATGAAACAAGTTACGCTTTTATTTTTTTTGTTTATTATTTTCCATCGAGAAGTAAATTATTTCGTTATCACAAGGAATGATGGAGTCGAATTGTGGACTCGCGAATATTTTCTGTAAAATTGCTAGAAGCTGCCGTGATCTATAATAATAATCCTGGAGATCAATAATTCCCGGAATATTCGCGGAATTCAAGTTCAATTCGTTGAATTCCATTGGAAACATTATATTAATTAATTTATTTGCAAAATTACTGTAGAGTAATGTGTAAATTAATTTCTTATAAATACTAATGATAAGTGACCAGACCAAAACTATTGAGAGGAGAACCTTATGTGTAATAGAATAGGTTTTCATATGTAAATCATTCCTGATGATAATCATCTTCTATCCAGACAGCCTCTATGATATCACGTTAAGAGAAAAGATGTGAGTTTATCATAAATGTATTTACTTACCATTCCGTATTTCTTTCTAGTCAATTATTTATTGTATAATACAAAGAATACGTCAGAGAAATTGATATTATAAAAGGGAAAATAAATTTTACAGATCAAGTAGGTCCTCACTAAATGCCTCACCACCTTTTAATTTTCAATTTTTATTTATTCGCTATTTTCATGTTGATTTCTCTAGATGTAAATGACGCATTTAATTCAATTAATGAATAATTAAATCGGGAGCCGAAATCGATCAAAGACTGATACCGATCGACTTGACGCGAAATTACAAGATTAAGTGGCATTTGTTGGCTCAATTAATTTTATTTAAAACCTATTTATTCTTTCGAGCTTAAAAGATAATTAATTTACCTGTAATTACGCCTCATTGTATGATTACAGCCGTGTATTTTGTAGTTGTTGATTAATAAAAATATTTACTAAAAAAATTGAGAGATGATTGTCCGTCCAATTAAAAGTTGAATAATCCGTTATGACAGGGTGATGGCCCTGCATTGAAGAAAGCATGAATTTACATAATCTTTTTACCCATTCCGACTGTTCTGACTTCAACCTTATGGATGAGGCCCTTAAGAGTATTCTACTTCTGCGTGTGCCGTCAGCACTTAATAAAGATTATTTTCCAACTAATTAAAAGTTGCCTCACAGTGCCTCGTCCATGTACTACACGACTGTCTTTGAAAAATCAAGTTGCTATTTTTCCTTACCTCTGAGCTCACTGTGCACTTCAAAGCTAAAGCTCATCCCTTGATACAGCGTGACCAACATTTTACTTTATTTATGTGCTCTCAGTAATACGGATTTACCTCGTATATTTGACAGTTCTTTTTGTCCCATGGATGATCCGCTTATTTTTCTGTTCTTATCTTTCCAGTTATTTGGACTTTGTCCACAGAAGAAACAGACTTTAAAAAATGGTTTCTGGAACGTAAATTTAAATGGGAATTAGGATTTTGAAATCGAGATTCGCGGGGAATTTACTCATCTTTTATGGATGATAAATATTTATAAAAATCTTGGAAAAATTATAGGGAATTCAGGAATATTCTGGAAACTTTAAACAAATTATCGACGATTATAACATGTAAGACATTTTTATTCGAAAATATACTCCAAATACAATATTCATCCCACAATCATCAGTTTATATATGTAATCCTGTAAAATCGGAAGAAAAAAATTCTAACAAGAGTTTAAAGTATGACTCTTCTCAAAATATATTATCTTTCATATTCGTTAGTCGTATTATGTCCCTGAAAATATTGTATACCAAATGTTATTACGATCATTATTACTAAATTCATGAAAAGAAATGCGAGTGAATTAGGCACATGGAGGTAGGCTAACGACCGACAATTAACTATGAATTATTAAAATATGATTAATACTCCCAAATGAACGATACCGAGAATTATCGATATTCCGTCTTAAAAAATGTCAACATTTTGAATTTGTCAATCAATATTAATTGATAATTATCATGAACAATTTATTGTAAATAATTTATTGATTATTGAGATAGATTTTAAGACACTATCGAATCGAAATGCCAATTATTTTAACTGGTGTAATAAGACAATTTTAAATAGGTTTCAATCATTTCCATGGTTTTTCGATGGATGAGTCATGATATTACGATTATGAATACAATGTTTTCTCCATCCACTCTTCCAGAGTAAACGTAGCTGAGTTAGTACGCTGAAGATCACGTTCGTGAAAGATGTCTGCAACACAAAGCCGATTCAGTTAATTTGTTATTCATACAGAGAAACATTGATGTAAGCGCAGAATATTGGGAAAATTTGGGGCTAGATCGATGGGCGCATCAGTCTCCGCTGTATTTAATGAGAAAAAATTCCAGGGGAATATTCATTGTTTGAGGTGAACAATAACGAAGTACACGGCATGCTTTTTTCCATTTTCCACTGATTACTCTATGAATATCTTTGAAACACAACTTCAGGAAAGAATAACACCAAAGATTTTTTAGTCAAAACTTCACTTAACGGAAAGAAATTTTGATGTTTCTTGTACATTCACCATTTTGGCGGAATTCGAAGATATTCACAAATATTGGAAGATAAAACATGCAACGAGTATTGGGTGAATGCACGAGGATAAAGGGAATTATAATAATTTCTTTAAACAAATAACAATTCATCTTCCAAAGAGTAATGGCCCTGACCGATCATAGTTTTCAGTCGAACAGCGCACATGATGTAGTCATCGAAGTGAATGAGTCCGTCTTTAGTTCCATATCGATGAACAAGAATATTCAGAATGTGATTGTTCAATCGATATCCGGCACTGTTGAGGGCCTGTCGAAGTTCAAAGGCACTGAGATAGCCCGAGCCATCCCTGTCGTATAATCTGAACACAGCCTATGGGCAACATTAAAAGATTCATGAATTTCTCATTCAATTCATTTATTCACTCCAGAGGAAAATGAGAAAAATAAAGAAACTCACTCTCCAGTTTCGTATATCAGTCCAGAGCGTCAGGAACTCCTCGAAACCGAGTTTTCCCGAATGGTCGGTATCCAGCATGGCTACCATACTACGACAAATGTCTTTGCTGAATCCCTCATTATGCATTTCTGGAATAATAATTAAAATTTCTCACCAATTTAGTGATTTTCGTTTAATAAATTGTGTAAATAATTTAATAATTGATTAGGGAATTAGACAATCATCAAGCACAACATCAGCATGAAATAGACAGTATCTAATGATAAATGATTTGACTAGATCATGATTACAGAAAAATGATTGAAGGAAAGGAATTCACGAAATTCGATTCCTGAAATTTGACTCGAGTTATTGACATTCGGTTTGTCTAAAGCTCCATAGAATTTCCAACTCTCAAATAATTTTTTTTTGTCGACTAGAGTGTGAAAGATGATTCTTACCTACAGGTTTACCGTACTGTTCATTATTGCAAATAATTCCGCAGAGAAGTGAGATGATGAAATCGACCATAGAGCCGTCTTGCTCAGTATTTGATGGATGTGCTTCATTATGTTGGGTTTGTGGGAGTTCTAGCCAGTAACAACACACTATGTTAGCGAATTATTATCGAACACGTGCGGGCGTCGATCGATAGATTCGTATGGAAAATAGACAATCACTACTTTCTCTATTTTACGAAAGGATATTGCGCAATCAATTATTCGTTTAAGGCGTGCGAAGTAGTAGACCTATAAATCCACCGATTTATTGAGAATATTATAATGATGAATATTTTTTCATTTTTCAGTTATTACTGTTTATCGAAAAATAGACAAGCCCATTTTTTAGTATTAATATTTTTCAAAGCGAAATCGTAGCTAATTGGCATAAAATTTCCGCTTAAATGGTGTTTAATTAGAAGCTCTGATGTTAAACATTCAGTCTTTTAATAAGCAAATGAAAAAATTACGAGAAGAACAAAGAGTAAAGCAGTAATGAAATGAAATCAGCACAATAACCAACTAAAACGTTGTGGAGACGTTTTTATAGACTTACCTTTACGCATCGCGTAGTCCAGAATTTCCTTCAATTCCATCCAATCAACCTCCATATCGTCTCCAGCGAGTTTCCGGAAGAACTCACGAATTTTTTCCTCGTTATGATCCGGTTCCGGCTGATCTCGCACCTGCAAATGATAGAAATAAATTTGTAGGCAAATGTCTTCATATTATTTCAATTAAATTTAATTGGCATTGTAATTAGGGCGTGTGTAACTGTACTTGTGCAGTTCTCTTTCTCCTCTTCTCGTCGAAAAGAAAATCATAAAAAGAAAATTGAATAAATCGTATGTCAGTAAGAATTGACAGGAAATTGCGCAGTGAAATAAGAAAGGGGATTGAGTAAGTCCAAAGCGAATGCGAATTATTATCTGAACGTCTCGAGAAATATCAGAATTTTATGTCATTTCCTTGACATTTTTCAAATCCCCTATTTTTAATATTTGAAAAAGGTGTTGATGCAAAATATTATAAATTATCTCTCTCTTTTCCTCTTCACTGCAGAATTATTCACTGTATGTTTTAATTAATTGGGATAATTATTAAGGGTATTGTAACTCACACTGTGATCTCCATCACCCCCAATCCCATGTCCACGATTAATTACCTAAAAGCCAAGCCCATGTCTCATGCGTATTGTGTTAGCGTTTTAGCACACCCAGAAGAAGGAACATTGGTTAATTCATTGTAAATAACAATGAGAAAGGAGTTATATTTATTTATGTACGACCAATGACTGTGTGTTGTGTGCTGTAACTACTCTGACACTATTTGTTCAATCATTAAGACTGAATCATCAAGTGCATGATCTACTACCCGTGCTGACGTGTCACAAATGCCATTGTTCGTATTTACATTTAATCTAGAAAAAAAAATGAATGTGAATGATTGCACATACCCTGTCATCGACTTCTCCAATGCCAACAGATTCATCGTTTTCTCTAGAAAATTATAAATGCCGATGAATAAACCACAGGAATACATTAATCAAGTTTTTAAAATTAATCCATTGATTTTGTTAGTGGATAATAATTTCTACGTACTCCATGCTATTTTTATTTTCAGAGAATATCCTCAGCAAGAATTCTCCCTCCTCATTAGGGTCATAAGTACTGGGAACGATGCAGTATGTGCCAGGTGGTAATTTAAATCGACAACTGACTTCCCTCAGGTTGATAAACGATGGCGATCTGGCCACGGATGCATTATACTTGAAGAAATTGATATCCAGAGGTTTTGGTAGGCGATCCGGGTAATCGAGATGATAAATAGCGAAACCAATCGTCAAACAATCAGCTCCCATTCGCTTCTGGGCTCTTCTGTTCTTCTGCATCAAGGCTACGATCACTGTACATTTATCATCGCCTTCGTCAGGGTATTCTAGAGTCACAATGTACTGGGGATTGTGCCAAAATGTTTCTAGAGCATAAATAAAATACTTGAGATTAATTTTTTAAAACGAAGATGAAGACGAAAATTCTAAATCAGACTGGTGGATTGAAGTTGAATTTTTTCATATCATTTTTATTCCGTACCTAAGAAATTTCTGCATCCGCCAGCAGTCACACCCCTCACCCACTCCCCCTCGAAGACACTCATCTCCCACCTCTTTTTTCCCGAATTGAGATCATCCTCAGTCAGCGAATCAGGATTCAAGTTACAAATTTCCAGATTAGTGAAAAACCTCTTCCAATCCTGGAAAGACATCCAGAATTCCCCATCGACATCAAAAGTGAGTCCTAACTCCTCTTTCTCGTGATCTGGAATGAATCTCCACTCTGGAGAGCCATCACTCCAGGGTCCGTTCCACTCGGCCTCATTCCCCCAGGGATTTCTCAGTCTGAGAAGTGGAATCCTCCCAGATTGGTTGGGTGTCTGAATATCCACGTACTTGACTCGCGTAATACTGTATGCATGTCCCCTGATGAGACCCTGGGGCGTCTCAGCCTCGAGGACGTTGGGGTCTGGCTCCAGAGAGCAGCCCATCATCGAGTTCCTCTCGAAAGCCTTCAGGAGGATGCTGAAGAGATTCGGTGGAGTTTCATTCATCTGGTACATCTCTGTAACACCACCTGTGAAATCCTCCATTGCTTCACACGCTGTGCCGCCTTTGAGTGCCTCGTAGGAGCCGTGAAGTTTCGCATATGCTTTCTCCAATAATGCACTCCAAAATTCATTGTTCTCTGCTGAACTGAGGTACATGAGTTTACCGTGGTATGTGGGTAAACGATCGTCTATCACTACATCCACCCATCTGCCGTACTGCCAGAATCTAATGATCATAGATTAATTAGTAAGTAATGATTTGTCATTAGTAGAGTGGTGGCTCCAAGGAGATCTCTCCTAATTACCTGAAGTGGAAAATCCCAGCATAACTCTCATCGAATCCTTGATCCTCCGGAACAACTTGGAAGAATAAATGTTGATACATTGTGAGATTGGCGACAGCAGCGAGGAGCCAGCAATCCCCGAGTTCTCCCTGCTGTACATCGAACCTGGAGAAACCCTCGACGAATAATTGGGGATTGTCTGCAATTTCCTGAAAATACAATTTACATTACAATCTAGAGTTAATTCAATTGAATCTTTTACCATTGGTCGTCGCCATTCTATGTATCTGTCCGGACGTCTGGAAAAGTAGAGCGAGGAGTCGTCCGCTGGGAATTCGGGATCTTCAAACAGTTGTCCGGAGGCGAGACATTGTTGACGCAGTTGATTGAAATCTTGAACAGCACCCTGAGCTCTAAATCCTGATCCTTTCTCACCCAACTGTAATTATCATAGAACCAACACCATCAGAATCAATTCCAATTCCAAGTCACCCTCAAATTTAATATTTATTCAATTATCATTCCATCTTGACTGTTGAACACATAAATATTCTCAATATTACGGATTATCATTTACGTTGAAATAAGGTTTTCCTATTGAATTCCCAGTCGTCTTGATTGGTTTATCATTATAAATAAAATTTCTCTTCACTGATGCTCGATTGGCCTCAGAAATTTTATTTAATTCCGGTCTTGGGGGATTCGATCCCGGCCCTTTTAATTTTTCCACGGGACTTTTATTTAAATTCTGGCGAATTGTTTTACTCGTGGCGGGGATTTTAAACTCGGTCCCACTTCGTTCTAAATAATTATGGCAACGAGTCGTGAGACTATAGGAGTAAGTCGGTTTTTTCTCCATTTCAATTCTTAATGTGAATACTAAAAAACCGAATAATGAGACTGTTTTGTACTGTCCAATTGACCAGAAGGTACTGACCAATTTAATAATTCTTATCTGGTGAGGAAAACTCGGTGCTAGTATCCGGTGCGTTATCAGACATGCTATCATAGCCCTTAGGCGCAGGAAAATATAATTGCTGTCAGTTGCGTGAGGCAATCGAGTGACTCTGAGGATCAGTGCGAAATTGAATATTACTCATAGAATAATATTTCATCATTGAGATCGTAAGAGAATTAGGGAGTGCAAATATTTCTGATATTTTTAATGGCCCCACTGGCCTTCAGGATAATCGCAATTTGAATTCCATCTCTCATCCATCAACCTGAAGGTATAATTTCGGAGTTTTTCCCCGTAGCGAATGAATCACCTCCAGTTTCCTCTTAACGTAACGTCATAACTGTCTCCTCCCACTCGGTGCCAATTTTTTTACCTGAGAGGACTCAAGACCGATTAAAATCTAGATAATTCCACATTCTAATAGAAAACGATGAAATACAAAAAATGTCAGGATAATCAATTCGAGTAACACAGAATTTGAGTACTGAAGAAATAAAAGATCTATGAATAGTCAAAATATGTTTTGTGTCAAATATAATATATTTTGAGATCATAGAAAATGTAAAAACTATTTTCCACGCGTACAGGTTGAATGCAAGGGAAGAAATCATCTTTATGAACTTATCATTAATTATCTATATTTCTAAAAGAGAAAAAAATCAATTTTTTGGTGAATTTTCCTGAAAAAATTCTACAAAAATTCGAATACATGAAAAAACCCATCAAAATGAGGTTATGTACTCAAATACAATAATAAAATATTCCAGCATCCGTATGACAAGTTAGTGGCGAGTGTAATCATGCAAATAGAATAGATCTGTCCACAAAGTTGCATTACCACTTTGATGGCGAATAATGATGGTAGAACGCGTTTAACTTGACACTCTTTTTTCACAAAAACATCATTTCCAGGTTGAGTTGCCGCCTCGTTCCAGCCATATCCACACGGTTGCTCATAATTCCCGTAATCACTCATTTTAATTGTCAAAATTCAACAATCACTCTTTCTATCACTCAAAAACAGCTGATCCCAGATGGACCCAATTCCGAAGTTTTTTAATAAATTACGATCGGAGCTACAAATCAATTGTGAATGCAATCGAATTACGGAACAACTGCTGTGGTACGACGTAGTGAGAGGACCGTTAGGTGATTATTGTGATCTCATCATTGGAGAAGGCTCCAGTAGTGTTTAATTGGATTTTTTATTTATTTTATTCAAGAGTAATTGTGAAGAAATCAAAGAGGGATGAAAATCGAGAGGAATTACACATGAATCATCTTTTCAGAATAATTGTTTGGCGATAATTGGGTCATTTTAGGACCTTGGGTACAAGGTCATTTGAAACTTCTTCGATCATTGATAGATTAGGGTTTATTCGACGCCCTAGGGTAGGTCACAGGAAACACTAACAAACGAAATAAATCATCACTCAGCTTCTATCAACCTTGGCATGATTGATAATGTTGGTTCAATGCCAATGACACTCCACAAATTACTGAAAACAATTCAATTTTCACTCTGAACTTACGTTTTTTTCAATTTTCTGCCTGACGAACTCCGGCTCACTAATTACATCCATATTCCAACCGTAATTAGTCATTTTTATTCGGTAATATTTTATTCACTCAACACTTTTATCTCGATGTTTTTTGTTCAATTCCTCATGGAGTGTTTTCTGTCACTAAAATTCACAAGTTTCACAATCTTTTACTTAAATAATCAAGTAACGTATTCATGCTGTTATGGGGTTGAGTAATTGCAATGCAGACTTTGTATTGATCCCTTATACGAAGTAATAAAATTCTCATAGTGAATGACAAGAATTGCTAACAATGTTTACGAATTATCTCGATTAAAAGTGATTGTCAGAGAATTGTCAGAAATTCGACTGCTTTACCAAAAATATTTAAAAAATTAATTCATCGTTAGGTCGTAAGAATTAAAATACAAGATTACTCACAAGTTGATAACAGATTGACAAGAGTAAGGGGGGATTGCAGAAAGAACTGCAGTTGCTCGTGCGTACTATTGTGCAATTTAAATGCAGGTTGTTTTATTGATCTGATACGAAATAATGCAATCCTCGTTCCGAATGACGAATTGCCAATATTTTCTAGGAATCATTTTATGAAGTGTGAATTCTCTATAGATTAAATCATTAACTTATCTTCAGGAGAATATCAAAAAATAAATAATATGAATTCTTTTGATTTTGTTGACAGTAGGAGATCAGATTGGTGCATGTATAATTTACTGGATTGATGTTGAATAAAAAAATTATGAAACATCTGTTGATAATCACTGATAATCACCATACACTACACCTCATCGATTTTTCGTGTAATCCGAGGATTTACTCACCGAAGGTGGCGAAACGAACGCACGCGATTTGGATCACGAGAGATGAATGCAAATTTTGAAGTTTGAAATGATAAAACTGTCTGGTCCAAGAGCTGGTGGCACACTGCGGATATCAAAGAGCCATCGCGCCTGTCATATGGTAAACCTCGAGTTTAAAAGCGTGAGTCAGTTGAAGCCCTCGGTCTGCTCGTTATTATGTAAAAACAGTGCGATAAAGAGACGATAAATTGAAATGCGGAAAATAATTCTTTAAATAGATAGTAACGAGATCTCTAATTGTCAGAATTGCGATACACATCTGGGCAGTTGTTGCGGGGATTCTGCGATTGCGTTCGCGAAATTGATTTTTCTCGGTATTGTGTCTCGGTTTGGATCGCTTTGCCAAATTCGCAGGACATTCAAGTAGTTTTCCGATTTCCGGGAGCGCGAGGAAATCGGAGTGAAAATGTTCTCAGAGTTTGAGGAAAATAGATTAATGAGAACCGAGACCATGCGGTGGGCATTTTTTCGAGGCTGACGAACTCAATTTTTTTTTTCTATTTGCGACGTCTAGAAATAAGTTAAACCGGTTTTTCGTGTAGGGACGGAGTCAATTCTCAGAATTCTGACTTGAAGGAGTTTAGAATTATTTTGGGGAAAATTTCGAAAGCTGGATTGCTTGATGACTGTGCAGATATCTCGGAAATTATTGATACGAGAAACACCAGGAATTTTTTTACAGGAAATTGGAGTAAAAATGGCAGCCGATTTCCGTGTTCCAAATAAGTAAATTTTTTCCCAGATTTTCATCTCGTCATTTTCCCGTTCCTTTTCATGGAACGCATTCAACATAAACATCGAAACATGAGTTAATGATTGTTTTTGTTAAACATGAAATGCGTTTGAAAATAGCGGATCTAAAAATATGAAAGTATCAGCCCTGCGGTGCAAAAGGCGAGAAGAAAATTTGGCTCTCGTCCAGAAGAAATTAATGTTTTTACGTGCATCATAAATATTATGCGCTTTATTGTTTATCCGAAACTGTAGCGATTTTTAATTTTTCAAACACTATTTTTGCAGTGAAATGAAATTCTCCGCATGTGGTGATGGCAAAAAAGAATTAAAAGTCATTCAAACCTTGAACGTCACCCTCGCCGGATGATGGATGTCTCCACACCCTGTGAGACCTCCCCGGAGGTTCCTCGAGAGTAGATTATACCGACCGAGGGTTCCCCAGACGTCATCGGGTACCTGACCAAGCAACTCAGCATTTCTAAATTATTAAATAAAAAAATAACCAATTAATTTCCCATTCGGCAGCACCAGCAGAAGCGCTTCGCGCCGATTTCCCTCAGTCGTTTTCGTGAAATATATCGAGATCGAAAAGAGATATGAAAAATTTTGTCAGAAACGTTTCTACGGAGTGGAAAAAGATCTACAAAAAAGGTCCCGATGAAAGTTTAGGTATCACCGATGGATTCCGATATATTGCCGAAATTGCCATGATCTAACTGACTCTGGACAATTAATTTCTCAATTTTTTATTGGACTTGATCATACCCTTTCACGAATCTCTCAGTTTTAACGTTGCCTTTGTCGTCGGATACTGCTCTGACGTAAAAATAAACGTAATTAGGCATGATTGCGGCCTTGAAATTATCCAGGAAACTTTAATTTACGATAAAACTCATTCTCAAGAGAGTACTGCAAACTATGGACAAGCTGTAGCTGCATCGTCACTATCTCGACACTTCTGTCTTAAATATATATAGATTATTCTAGTCTCCATGTGTATCCCCAGCTCTATTTACTCTATACGCTCTATACAAATGGTGAAATTTCATTTCCCAAAAGTTACTCAATTCATTTTACGATTCACTACAGTATTATTTGTAATTAAATGAACAACTACGACAATCTATCAATTACAAAATGATGGAAACAACTTCCAAAGACTTTTAAGAAACATTAAAAAATGTCTCTTCAATTTCAAATCTGATGTCTCTCAGCTGATAACAAAGGGAATCCCTTTACTCACGTCTCCAGTTCCCTTCTCATCGGCACGTGCAACACAAGTCACTGAACTCGTCTGATTTTCTGAGAAGAACTACCAAAATGTCATCCCCAGAGGACAGAATAATAGCTCTAATTGATATGGACTGCTTTTTCTGCCAAGTGGAATCCCGAGATCATCCGGAGCTGAAAGGCCAACCCCTGGTGGTCTCTCAAAATAATGTAGTTCTTGCAGTGAGCTACGAAGCTCGAGCCCTGGGAGTCACCAGGTTCATCAGATCCGAAGAAGCCAAGGAGAAGTGTCCCACGGTGAATATCGTGAACTCACCGATATCCCACGGCAAATCAGACAACACAAAGTACAGAATGGCTGGTCAAGAAGTGATTCAAGTTCTGAAACAGCACTGTCCAACGATAGAAAGAGCTAGCATTGACGAGGCCTACCTGGACATCACAAAACTGGTGGATGATCGTCTGGAGACCACTCTGTCCTCTTCAGAGGACCTGAGGACTTCTCTCTCCAACACGTTTGTCGTGGGCTACTGTGGCCCCTCGAACGACGAGATCCAACGTTCCCAGGGTCTTCAAAGATGGCTTGAAGAGGTATTCGACGATATCAGCGATGATCAAGCCAGGAGATTAGCTATCGCTGCTGTCATCGTCGAAGAATTGCGAAGGGAAATCCTCCAGAAGTGCAGCTTCACGTGCTCTGCTGGAATCTCTTACAACAAGGTCCTAGCTAAGCTAGCTTGTGGTCTTCATAAGCCTAATAAACAGACCATTCTCTCTTCTGCTGAGGTCTCAGAGCTGTTTACAGCAGTTCCCGTTAACAAGGTCAGGAATCTTGGCGGAAAAATTGGGAAGACTTTGATGGAGAATTTGAACTGCAATGTTATGTCTGACCTCATGAGGTTCACACTTCAAGATCTGTTGAAGGTCTTCGATGAAAAAACAGCTGATTGGTTGTTCAATATTGCCAGAGGAGTGGATAACGAACCTGTTACCCCACGACTCATCTGCAAGTCCATAGCTGCCAGTAAGAACTTCTTCGGAAAGGCTGCGATTACTGATTTGGAGGGGCTGAAGGAATGGGTTGGAGAACTGGCTGGGGATCTAGTTGAGAGACTCGAACAGGATTTTGAGGATAACAACAGGAGAGCAACAACTCTGACAGTTTGCTATCATCATCTTGTGGAGAAGAAGAACGTCTCGCAGTCCAAGAGCTGTCCCATGGGGCCTTATAACAAGGAAAGAATTGCTGGAATTGCTTTTGATATTATTTCTAGGAACATGCAGATGCCCATTGTTTTCATTTCACTGGGGACTAGTAAGTTTGTTAGCGTGCAAAAGAGTGGGAATTTTGTTAGTTATTTTAAAAAAGGGGTACATTCAGCAAAACCGATGGAGAATTTAGAGATTAGGAAAGAAGGGAGTCAGGAGGAAGCGAGGGAAATTTCGAAGATTTCTCGGGAAGGGAATGAGGAGAAGAGTGTTGAGGACAGGGGAAGTCTGATAAAATTGCAGGAAATATTTCCGGATTTAAATGACATCGATCATTCTGTGCTCGCGCTACTGCCCATGGAGTTGCAAGATGAAGCTAAATTGTATATTAAGAATAAGGAGTCGCCTAAAGTAAATAATGCTAAATCCAAAATGAGTTCCGGTGGAGTTCGAAATGGGGGAAATACTATTAAAAATTTTGTGGTTAAGAATTCTTCTGCTGTTGAGAAGTCCTCGATGATACGATGTAGCGAGTGTGATCAGATGATACAGGGGGATAAGTTTTCCGAGCACTGCGATTTTCATGTTGCCCAGAATTTACAGAAAAGTATCAATCGATCATTGGGGCGAGAGGTGTTGGGGGATTCTTTGAAGAGAAATAGGGAGAAGAGCTCTTCCCCAAAGAGCAATAAAAAGACTCGTAGTATTGATTCATATTTCAGTAAATTTAAGAATAATTGATTTTATAAAACATGGGAGTTGGAATTGAGTAGAAATAAAACAAATGTAATATTTATAATAATTGAATGTAAAGTGAATATAAAGTTGAATGTAAAGTGAGATTCAGATTGAAAATGAAAGTAGACATTAATATATTTTTCTCAACTTGCAAGGCATTGGCATATTTATTATCACATATTGCCACTCGTACAGTACGAAATCTTTTTCCTTCAATGAACTATTTTTAATAAAGTATTTAACATGTTAATAATTAGGTAATTGTCGCGTATTCTCTCGAGGTTTTCCTGTCTAATAAATGAAAATAAAAAACTGAAAAAAAAAATGAAAAGAACTAAAAAAAGAAATAAAGAGATAATTCATGGCTATATAAACTAGAAACTGTATGAATATCATAAAACCGAAAAATACGAGAAAAATACTGAAAAATACTGGGAAACGTTTTTTCTATAATCTCAATCAGAAAATAGATTTTTTATCCTCATCCCTAATCCATAGCGAAGACCTTATCAAGAGCCCCTAAATCAGGTCTAAAAGGAGATCTGGTGAGCCTTCCCTCAAGCTCATCCCAGTGCCACCAGACGCCATCGATCCTGATTTTACCATAAGCCGCCTTGACCTTGCCCCCAGCCTTATTCCTGAGCTTCTCTTCAGCCTCCAAAAACTGCTGCACCTTCTTTTCCCTGCCAGTATAATCTGAGACAATACGAACCTGCGTTAGTCTCGCATACCACCTGTTCCTTAATATCTGCTTCTTGATAATGTGTGATCCCACAGTCACCACCAGAGTATTCCCCACCACGAGGACTTTGTTGACTTCAGCATTCACTCCCATAATTCTCCAGATGAACTCATTGATATCATCCTCGAGTCTCTTCCAGGAGCTTCGGAATCCTGTCATCACGATGTTACACCCCTTGTGATGACGTTCAATCATCTCCCGTTGAAGTTCCACGAGACTGAGAGGACATGGCGAAGGATTTTCAGGATTTTCCACCAAACTATGAACTTCTTTCGCAACAGCCCCTGATGATTCTTCGGTGCGATATCCCAGACGTTGAAACACAGACCCTTGATGGTCATTGGAGCTATCGACCGAGTCCAAGATGATCATTCCAGCGAGATCACCAGCTGGAACGTCTGAGGCTTGCTGAATCTCCTCAGGAGGCTCCGTATTTGCTACGACGGTGCCTTCCTCGGTGGGATTTGCATCAGGTACCGGATCAACCTCCGGATCCTTGAGTTCCTCCAGAGGCTCCCCTGATGTCTGAGTTCCCTTATCGACCATCTTCTGCCTTCTGTTCATTTTCTTCAAGATCAATTTGATCCCCTGAAGATTACGACTAACTGCCTTCTCGTATTTCTTTTTCTGAGCCTCACTCTTTGCAAACTTGGATTTCTTCTCTCGTTTATACTCTTCAAGGACTTGTTTGAGAAGAACGTAATTCCTTTCTTCAATTTCTGGTAACTTCAGGTCGAAGACGTCTGAGATTATCTCGTTCAGACACTTCATCTTTTTCTCTCGAGGGTCATCAGTATCTCCACCGGTTTGAATCGACTCAGATGAATTTTTGACAAGCATCTGCGAGCTTCCTTCACCTTCAGGAAGTTGGGGGTCTGTTTTTTTATTGTAAACTCCGCCAGATTTGTAAACCTTGAATATATCGATCAATTCTTTTATCGTGTCTTGAACATCTACATGATTGGAGTGATATTCACGTGTTGGTGTCGTCGAAATATTTTTTTCCTGTTCATTATTGCGACTTTGAGTGCTATTGTTGACAGTTTTTGGTACAACTGCTGACTTCATTCCGGAAACACTAACATTAAATGAAGAATCATTTAGTTGAGTGTTTGAACATGTGGAATTGATCATCATATCTGGTGAGTTGACGGTACTCTTCTCTACTGTTGTATTTTCCTCTTTTATTTCAACGATCTCAGGGTCTTCTGGATCAATCACAATGATTGAGTTTCTCTTTGGTCTCTTCTTTGAAGGCTCGACATTGTTGTTTTCCTCAGAAGTTGTCAGATTGTTAAGGATCTTTTTTTTTATTCGCAATGCGTTCTCGGATTTTATTTTCATATTTGGTGGTCTTTTGGGTTTTCCCTTCTTGCGTTTTCGAGGCTCAGGATCGTCCAAGGTTATTGGAGGAGGCTTTGTCCCTCTTGAGGCTCGTGTCTGTCGCTTTGAGGTGACAGGCTCAGGTGTCTTTTTCCTCATTTTGAAGAGGGGATTTTTCAATTTTTTTGGCTTTGGCTCTTTAGATTCCTCGGAGAACTTTGATAATGGTGAATGTAGTTTTTGGAGCTGGTGGACCTCAATTTTATTTGGGGCAGAAACAAAAGGGCTAGAGCCGAACTTTCGGTGGTCTTTTAGAATAACTCGCAATTCACGGTTTGAAAACATGATTGATTCAGGCGATTTCAGTGTACTGTATTGTTTGGGGGGTGAGGTGAGACTTTCCACTGGAATTTGTAAGACAAAAGAAAATTGAGCGCCGAAACAGTTGGAAATTGTTTATTTTTGTACTCAGAATATGCATTTGTCAGATTTCATCATTATCGACGAGACCCGCCAAAAGCGTCATAACGTTATGGATTTTCAAATCGATAATTCATCTGTTAAAAAATTGAAACTGTCGTAGAAGCAGAAAAAATTTATAACACCGCAACTAAAAAAGGGAATATTGAAATAAGGAAACATTCCTGGATGTTAATAATTTATAAATTTATTCATTATCTTTATTCGCTCCATAAATAATGATTAATAATGAATTCAATCAATTTATCAGGATCATTTCAAGTAACAAAAAAAAAAGAATGAAGGTGGATATTTTGTAAAAATTCCTTCAGTAAAAGAAAATGCAGAAAAGAAAATTTCTTCATTCATATGATATTCAGAAACGCATTCCAAATTGAATGAGTACGAACACGATCAATTATCTTTAATCATCCAGTCTTTCTTCATTCTATAAATTATTCTTGACAATAAATCAAGCAATTGAATTATCGTGAAAAAAATTCAGCGATGAATGCACAATAATTTACAAAATATAAACAATTTGAATCAACAAAAAAGTAAAAAAAAAAGACTAATTCGACAATGATTTCTGAACAGGAAAAAAAATCAATAATGAGATCTACTTCCTCGATTGTACCCTCCACCACCTCGAGCCCACCCTCCTTGGACCCTACCCCCCCTTCCCCCTCCATTATACCCACCCTGGTTGTATCCTCCTTGATGACCACTCCTTTGATATCCTCTGTTATCATCTTGACAAGACCCCGAGCTGTTGGACTGATCCTGCCAGTCTCTGTTCTGTCCAAAATTCGAGGAGGAATCCTTGTGATCTCTGTAATTACCTCTTCCCCCGCCTCGTCCACCCCCTCTGCCACCCCTTGATACGTCGGGAGCTCTGTCCTTCTTCCAGGAGGGCATCTCCGGTGGTGGTGGGGCTTGCTCATTTGTTCTGCCACCTCGATCTGGCACAGCTCCAATTATCACCTTCGTGACTTTACTCTGGGTGTTCTTTCTCACAGCTGCACTACTTGTTTTTTCAATTATCGCTATATCATCTCTGGCTGCCAATAATTGGGAGATCGTCACCGATGGCTCGCTCGACATTTTAGCACGTTTCGCGTGATAACAGGTGATCAGTTGATCTTGCTTCGCTTTTATCCGGTCTGACCACAAAAATGATTGAACAGTAACGTCCAATCTCTTCAGCAACATCTCTCTTCGAATCATGAATTCATCTTTCATATCTTTTTGGAGTTGATCAATCTTCTCCCACTGTTCTTTCGATAACTCACCGATAATTAGGGGTTTGCCAATTAAATCCTTCGGGGCTGAAGTAACTACAGTTTTGAGTTTACCCTGGAGTTTGTTGAATAATTGGCCTGCAGTGATGGTGTCAGGAGGTTTTCCAAACTCCAAGGCTATGGACATGTCCTTCAGACATTTGGCAGTGTCACTCTCATGCTGATTCGAAAAAAAAAAAATCGATAGAGGTTTTCGAAATTGTGCAAGAGTACAAATCGATGGAAACGACTTCATAAGTTATTAAAGAGTTCACGCAATTTCGGGAATCAATGGAAAAGGAAATTATCGACTCACGATTGTCACTTGTAGCTTGGATCCAGCATCAGGTTTTTTCGCTTCAATTATTTTACTAGCCATGAGCTCTTGAATCAAGTATTCCAGAAGGAGCATCCGTTCGTCCCTCGTGGCAAGTCTTTGATTGAGATTACCGGACATAAACTGAGTATTGACACACCCCAGTTCCTTCAGAAATGTGCTCAACTCGAGCAAAAATGAACTGGAGTCTTCAGGACTAGACGTTGGATGGACGCGCTCCTCAAAATTACCAAAAATCGACAGCTGTTCTGACAGCCAGGCCACCAGAGATGTGAAATCCGTCGATTTGGCACCTTTCTTCAGGGCTTCATCAAATCTACTGGAGTCTAGCAAAGGTCCTTCATACCTGAAGAAGAACATAAAAAAGAAAACATTAAATGTAAGTATTTAACCTAGAACTAATTACCCCATATTTTGCAGACACTCCAAAAGATCGTCCATTTTATCAGACCAGATTTAATTCTCTAGATAATCGTAATTTTGGAGGGTTATGTGATAACTATTTGATATTCAATTATTGTTTCAAAAGAAATTATGGAAATGCGCAGAGCGACCGGCACACGCAAAGAGGATTGACTAAAGTAGAGGCTCAGTCAAAGAGGATTGACTAAAGTAGAGGCTCAGTCAAAGAGGATTGACTAGAGTAGAGGCTCAGTTCTGGGGGTTTGAGTGACCCCACGAGCACGTAGTACCTCACCCCAAGAGAGAGAGGGTGCCACGCGCAGAGCTGGGGTGTCTGCCCGTCAGCTGACTCGGTAACTGCCTCAGTAGCAGTCCCCTGTCAGAGGGACCAGTCGAGAGAGTGAATGTTATTTTCTGCGTTACAAAATTGGTATTCACTGACATTGAAAAATTGAAAATTTTTGAAAAAGTATCAGGGGAACATGAAAATTGAGGAGGTATTC